AATGAAATCTGAGTATCTTTTGATAGTCCTAAAAGGATTGGGGATGCTATGATTTGAGGACTTTGCATTCAGATTGGAGGCAAAAAGGTAGTCTTCCATCCCCTTCTCAGTTTTCTTTCCACCAAGAAAATCACCCTTCCTCCATCCACTGATCCTTCATTGAATCAACACTGAGAAACGGATACAATAGCAACAATGGATGCATTTGTTTCACCTATCAGGATGAAGGGGTGAAACAAACTTCAAAGTCCAGCTGTAGCTATTCAGATGGGAGCACTTTGTGTGCTTGGGAGTGCACCCGCCTGTTTTAAACTGTTCACTGGAATACCACAGTCCGCTTTCATTGTGGAGATGATGATTTCTGGTGACCATCGGTATCTGTCCTGATGTAGGTAGTTTCTCTGTAAAATAACCCCCTGCCTATTTGTTGTCTGCCAACAAATAAGCCAAAAGAGCAAAATTAAATAAGGTCAGTGTGTTACACAAAATTCAAGAAGGATCTCAGAGGAACTGTGCATAGATTTACAAATCTCAATGGTAACTTTCCCTACCCTAAGGCTCTCCTCTCGCTGGGTAAGGACAGTGATGTTATTCTTTCAGTAATCTACCCTCCTGGGTTTTGGGTTCTTCAGCAGCCTTGATTCCAGGATCAAGGCTAGTGGCAACTCTGACCTTAAAAAACTTCTTTCCTGCTGGTGGGGAGGGAGAACTGGACTTAATGCAGTTCCAGTAAAGCATGTTATAGTAGTTAAGCCTGGAAGTTACCAACATGTGCACAACAGTCCTAAGGAATTTTCTTCCAAGAAGAGATTAAGTTATCTTATCAATCAAAACTGATAAAAGGTACTCCTGGCTGTTGTCACAATCTGGGAAACCATTTAGAGATCCAGCTGCAGAAACACTTTCCAACTACTAACCTGCTCCTTCTGAGAAAGGATTACCTTTTCCAGAACAGAAGATTTATCACTGCTCTGGAACTATGACCTTCCCAGTAACACCTTTATTTTATCTGGATTTCGTTTCAGTCTATTATCCTTTTTCTTTCTGACACTTGATAACTGGGTATTACCTATGTAACTGTAGTCCAAACCATAAGACCACCTACCATCTTCTTCAACCGTGGAGCTTTTACTCCCCCATGACTGTGAAGGAGCAAGAGATGGCTGGTAACTGTCAATTTTTCAACACGAGATAAAGTTACTGCAATAGGTGAAAGCCTAGGACGTTCTCATGTACCCTCTCCAGGAACAATTATGGCCTATCAGGGTAGTCTCACCACAACCAAGGGATATTGTAGCAAGACACATTCACACAGTGCAGCTGACTCAGCAATTGTGTTCCAATAGAACATGGAGCCAGAATCCTTTAGCATTCTCACTGATTAGGAATGACCAAATAGGCTGATGCACACGGCTCTGTAACATCCACTTGGGTCCTTATACCAAGTAGAGTACCCAAACAAAGCAGAAAGCCTCCATCAGTGGTTTACTTAGTATTACATACATTTATCTTATTCTGCCATCACAATCCTGCCTTCAGAGTCTCCTTAGATAATGAAAGCCCCAGAAAGAAACATCCCAAGAGCCAGACACATTACTTCAAGACCAGCAGTGGACTGTCCTCTTAGGCTAGGAAGATAGAAGATGGTGAGGCATAGGATGTGCAGCTATGTAAAAGCCCAATTCTGTCTTAGTCAGGTCTGCTCAAGGGGAAGGGCAGAGACTTCAGGTCCCTGGGCACAGCCTGGCCACAGGAACAATGTGGATCTAAAAATTACTCCAGGATGCTGCTTGAGAGACAATGAATTACAAGGCCAGATTTGGCATGTGGCTGCAGTTTTTCCCTGCCTTCCTAATTTGTTTACTCCTTTGGATGATGATTTCACGGTAATTTGCTTTTGTGTTCTAAACTGGGTCTGGGTTTATGAAGACAGAGTTAGTCTGATACATTTGTGTGATAATAACGTAGATCATGAACTGCCATTTGTGTGGCAAGGACATGTACATGAAAAGCTGCAAGATGGCGGTCATGGCTGTATGATCAAAGCCCCCTCCTTTTTGTACTTACATCAATATCACACATGTGCAAAGGGGAAGGGCTTCAATTATACAGCCATGACTGCCATCTTGACTTTTTTGACACCTACACCCTGCAGACGCCGTTGACAGTAACTAATCTTTAATATGGAAACAGTCTAAATAAAATTATCGACTAAACTTGGGCAACTGCAAAAAGTGTGACTCTTTTACATATACTTAAGCCATAAAGCAATCTACATTCTTTTGCCTCATTTTTCTCTCCAGCTGCCCCGCTTATTTTGTTTTCACAGTTATATCACTGCCAACGCAAGATAACATTTTATGCGACTGAAATTCTAGATAAGCATTAAGGAAGTGAACCCTATTTATTTAATAGAAATTGACTTCCAGGTACACGTGTCTAGGACTGCAAGTCTTAAGGTAATTGTTTACCCGTGCTTAGCTGGAACCAAGCTTTAGGAGCTTTGTACGGTGCACATACCCACCAAAAAAGAAAGTGGAATCTGCTGGAAAAGAAGCATACTGTAATTCAAAGGCGAGCTGATTACTGCTGGGTACAAGCCAGCAGTGGCATGAGTCAGATGTACCCACGGAAGCACATGTTCACACTTGCGGCAGCTTCCCAGAGCCTTCAGGCAAAGAAAGAAAGAGGGAGATCTGAGCTGTTCCTTTCTACTACAAAATAAAAAGTAACTCCTGGAAGGAAGTTGTAAAAAGATGAATATGGCAGGAGTCTGCAGTAGTTCAGACACAGTCAAGTAAATCCCAAATAGCATTTTCCACTTCTAGTTCTTCCTTCCCAATTCCTTATTTTTGCTTTTATTTCACATAAAATAGGAACTGATTGCAGATTGTTTCAGCTTTGCTCATGAGGCAAAAATATAGGAATTCCTTGGCTGCTGCATTATAACAATTAAAGAATACAAGTTTGCAGCTATTTCCTTGAATGCTTTTACATCTAACAAGCATGTATGGGATTGACTTGTGAACTGTAAATTAGGACAATTTCTACTTTGAATTTTACCTCTACCATTCGCTTCCAAGTGGCCTTAAATGAGTTGTTTTCTATGTTGCCTTAACCACATTTAGCTACCCTGGGAATAATAATATTGAACTACCTTACAAGATTGCTTGAAGTACAAGAAGGCAATGAAAAAAATACACTAAAAAACCAGAAGAAGCTAATGGAAAAATTCACTAAAAACTTTACAGTGCTCCTAAAGTGCTGGCTTCCCCCCTCTTCCCCCAAACCCCCAACTTTCAAATGGACATAAATGAAACCATATAATTGCTGTTGTTTTTGTACTTCTGTGGGTAATACCATGGTCTACATCTGAAGGTAACAGAGGTATCATTTCAGTTCTTCATCTTCTTCTGCTTTTAAATTGTCTTTACTCTCCAGTGCAAAATAGATTTTAGGCACAAATACTGGACCAGTGCTCTTCAAATGCCCCCCCCATGCCAAATTCTCAAGAAATATTGGTGTAGTGACTGTGGTGGTTGACTTTGGAGCAGTCATTCTGATGGGCAACAATCTGGTTCTTTGGCAGGTGATTTTTACAGGTTGGGCTTTTTATAACTGGCAGAAGAACAAACTAGCCTGGGTGGGTTTTGTTGTGTCTCCTGAGTCGCTGGCACTCCCATTTTGGATGCTTTCAGGGTGAAGAGGCCTGTCCAGCCCTTACATCTACAGAAAGATAGGTAGGAAGTTAAGGGAAGAAACACCCACGACTGCTTAGCCCTATTATAGGCTGGCACTGCAAGGCAAAAGATGCATAAAATAGAAAGGTTTCATCCTCATTCTTCAAAGATATATTCAGATGGGCATACTAAGTCTCCTGTCTTTTGCACTGCCCTTTGGCACTGCTGTGACTTTAAAAGTTTATATTCTTTAGTTGGGGGGGGGGAAGATATGTAAATTTCCCCTTTTACTGCAGGACCACCCCCACCCCACTGAGATCCTTTGTTAGCAGAGATCAAGCACGCAGGGCACAGTGGGCAGACCGTTCCTATCGTTTTCTTCTAAAGCCAGCTGCACAGCCCTTTTGATGGTGACCTTTATGTAAAACACGGTCACTTTCCTCCAGGTAGGACTTCCAGACTGTTTCAACGGCAGAACAAGCAGAGTTTTTCAAACTAACAGTTCCCTTCGGACATTTTGATCCGTCCCATCTGTTTGCCGTGCTTTCTGAAGTTCATCTGGTTTCCAGTCGAAATCAGTCCCAGCTAACAGGTGGCTGCTTTTTCTCGCCCAGCTTCTCGCCTAGTTCTAGGAAAAGAGCCGCGCGCAGCCACGCACCGATCAGCCTAAAACCGATTTCGGGCGGCAGAGGGAGAGATTAGCGTAACACACCGGCGGAAGTGAGCCTCGTTCGTAGCCACCTCCTGTTTCGCTCCACACCTCCATCCCCTGGTACAGCAATCAACATGGACACAGTTCAGCTTCAGGCGCAAACTTCGGAAGCGGCGCCTCCAGCTCCGTTGCCCCGCAACACCCCGCGTGGAGCAATTTCACAATCCCTGGCGCCCCATCTCTCCGACGGAGTCGCAGACGCCCTAAAACTGCGCTGAACGAGCAACCTCCAAATAATCGCCAGCCCCAAGGGAACCACCACTCCGTTGCATCGACAGTGCAGGCGCGGCAAACGCACGAGGTTCTTCCGGCCGGATCCCACCTGCAGGGGCTGCGCGCGCTCTCCCTGCAAGAATCCCAAGCCTGCAGCCCCTACGTACAATTTTTTTTTTTAATTGCTCGATTTGACCTCGAAAAGTGACAATCAGCACTTCCACCGGTCAATCGAGTATCTCGGTCCTGCAGCCTCGGGTCATCAGCACACGGCGGGTCGAAAGCCACGGAGGGTTACACCAAGCTGGGCAGGCCGATCTGTCCTAGTCCACCGCCCCCGCTGCCCCTTACCCTCCACAGCAACCAAATCCCAGCCGCGCCCCGGCGACACTTACAGCCTCCTGTTCGGGTCCAGCTGCTGATGCATAGCCAGGGAAAACCCGAAAAAGCTGCCGGGTTCGCCGTTCCACTTCACCACGTTCTCCGTGTCCAGGTTGAAGGCGCGGACGATTCCGGGCAAGAGGCACAGGTAGAAAAGTGAACCCATCTTCCCCGCAGAGTGCGCGCGCCAGGCAGCGAGCCCGCCGTCCCTGCCGCCGCCGCTCCGCCCGCCGAAATCCCCAGGAAAGCCAGACGCGCGGGGCGCCCCTCGCCCTTGTGGCCACGGATCGGCGCCGCTCCCCTCGCGGCCGCTCTGAATGAGCTCGTTGTTCTCTCCAGAGATTTGCTCGGGCTTTACACCAAGTGACGAACAACAAGCCTGGAGCCCCGCCCCGCCCCGCCCCGCCTCGCCTCTCCCCAGCCGAGCAGGAGTGCCTCGCCTTGCCCTACCCTGCCTGCCCAGGCTGCCAGCCGCCTGTTGCCCGGAAAGGGGACTCGAACCAACTATAAAGCGCCCAGAGCGGGAGGCTTTCGCTGGGAGGAGCAGCGTTTGGCCAGGGTTCGCTTGCGCGCCGCCGTGCCGTGAGGTCAAGACGTGAGAAGGCCACCGCTGTGACTGATGGAGCCTTGCCTATCCGGAATCCGCTGGGTTGGTCAGTTCTAGGGCTGGCGCCGGGCTTGTGGGGGATTGCGGGCAAGCTGTGCCGCCTGCGGGAAAGCTGGAGCTGACGTATCCCGGCTTCGCCCTGAAGACCTCCAAGGGGTCTTCGGTTACCCCCTTAGACATGAAGTGTGTGAGAATGCAAAACTGGCATGTGAGAATTCATAACGGGTTGATGTTTTCAAGTGAGATTGTGTTAGATCTTACCTTCGACTCAGTGAAATCTCACACAATTTAGCCATACTGTAAAGTCTGGCAAAAGAACTTTGTGCCAAGCCATAATGCAAGATCATGTGATAGCAACCTGGGTCTGAAACAGTAGCCAGAGTTCCAGCGGTGATACCTGTTATTGCTGGTAATGTTTGTATCTATACTTTGAAAGATAACAGCATTCGATAAAAACTAGTACTGTACTCATTTCTTCACCCTCTTCAAAAATTAATGACCACAGTGACCTGATTAGAAAGTTAATAAATAGCCACTTATTTTTCTTCCTACTTCCATGAGTACGCAATTCAATGCATCTTTAGTCCAATCACATTTTTCTTTAAACCATATTTAGTTATGGCTCTATTGTCAAACTGTCTTTACTGTCAAGCAGTTGCTCCTAATGTGCTGAACCACCAATAGGTCCTGAAGTTTAAGCCATTTAGATCCAGCCTAGAACAAGTATTTCTCTTCTGCGGGAACTTCAGATACAGTATTTGAAGTTTATATTTAAAGTTTACACTTTAGGTAATTGAGGCCTGAGAGCCTCCTTCACTCTTTCCTCACAGAATTTATTTTCCATATTCATGGCCACCTGCTCAAATGATAACTTGAATAAAATGTTCCGTGAACTCCTTGTGATATTTCCACATTGCAATCCAGGTAATTATGAATGAGGAAAGAAGGTCCAGGGATCAAGTTAGGACAGATGCAGGATTCTTGCATTCTACGCATTTATCTGCATTGCTCCAGGCTGTTCACTGACTTTTGAAAGGACATCTTATTAAGATACTTTTCAAATGAACAGCTCCTAGTACAGCCCCTCCAAAAGTGCAACTCCTACCTGAAAGGAAGACTGATTCTTTCATCAAATGATTTATGTTTAAAGGAGAAGCTTGTTTAGATTACCTTAAATATGGAAATGGAGAGAGGAGAGGGTTTTTTCTCTCTAATATTCCATATTCCAATATGGGGATACTGTTATGTTCATGGCTGCCTTTCTGTCGGGTAAATATAGCATTTCACCTTTCTGTTATTAATGGATTTTATTTTGCTGTAAGTAAGTAAAACAGATGGATGAGGTGGGAAGAAAACACAGAAAGATTACAAACGGATAACACTGTTTCTGGCACCCACCCCCACTAAAATGTGACAGAGACAGAATGATTGCACCATAAACCCCTGTTTGAAAGCACTTAAACTATCAACACATTGTTGTACTCCTGATCTTGGTTTTTGTTCTTATGATTCTGCTTTCTGACAGACTGCAAATAATTAGACTTAAATAAAAGAACAGAGTAGTATTGTATCCTCACGTGCAGATTTCAAGTAATTTAAAATACTGTAGTTTAATAGAGAAATGAATTTTAGTAAATAATTGTATGAATTTTAATAGATAATAGTGTAGGAAGATTTATTTATTATAGTAATTTATATAGCACCAAAGACTCCAGAAGGTTTGCATGTTCCCCATCAGATTTTGTGATGAATGGCGTATATTCCATTCATTTCAGTGGATGCTTCTTGCAACCTTTGTAAGAGCCACAGAAAATATTTGTGCAGTCCTTGGGATTCTCTGAGCTTGGTTCTTTTCTTGCAAACATTTCATTACCCGGCTAGGTAACACTTCAGTGCTAGAATGGGATGGGGTTTGCTCTGGACTCCACAGTTCAACCCTGAGCTACAGATATTCGCCTCTATTGGTACAGAAAATATTTGCCTGTTAAAATATTATAAGGCACACACAATGTGATCCTGTGTAATTTATTCAGAATAATCACTTGATTCACTAGGACCTCATTTCCAGATGGGTGTATAGGGCTTATGGAGCAATTTTAAACACACAAGTTAATAAGCTTGTACCGACTATACTGTAAATATCGATAGGATTGCTCAGTAAAAAACTGACAAAGGTAAGCCAAGGTGGTCTAGTGATTAAGAGGTCATACTAGCTCTGAGGTTCATCGGATGACTTGAGGCCAGTCCTTTTCTCTTAGCCCACCCTACTTCACAGGGCTGTTGTCATAGGAAAAAAAGGGAGACTGCTGTGTATGTTATCTTGAGTTTCTGTATGCCTCCAACCAGAATGTCAGTAACATATAGCAGGGCTTTTTCTGTATTGGCATCACTCGAATGTAACTCCCACCAAAAAGAGACCTGCCAAGTTCAAACAGAATGGCTATGAAAAAAAAAACAGTTCTGTTCTGCATGATATTTTGACAAGTCCATCCAACTGATGAACAATTATGTTTTCAGGAACCCCACAGAAATCAGTGGACCAATTTATTGATTCCAAAGTCTCTAGATATTTTCAAACAGGGGTTTTCAAACTTTTTCAAGCCAAAGAAAAAATATTTCCGAGAACCCCTGATCGAAAGGCAAAGCTCTAGTGATTGAAAATTGGCTTCTTTTTATAATTTTGTGTATTCCTTTTCTTTGTTTTTTGAATTTAGTTAATTTTAAAAGAAAAAAAAATTGCTGCATTGGAGTGATTTTTCCCCCCTTAGTCTCTCATAGAACCCCATCAAGTTCTTCTGGAACACAGTTTGAAAATTCCTGGCTCATCTGTTGCTGCTGCTCTCTTTCTCTACATATTCTGCTGTTTAAAAATGTGTGCCTCCAATTACATGGTTATTTGGAGAGATTTGGTCTTTGGAAAGAAATCGTAGATATATTTTAAAAAACAGAAAGAGGATTCTGAAGAACTCG